TTTAGTTATAGCCTCCTTTTTTTACATGCTCATTGCTTTCCAAGTTAACTCCTTTTGTAAACCTTTTGCTGTAGCCTGAAATGACTTTTAAATTAAGAAAATAACATTTCCCCACTACCAGCTTTCATGAAAGTTAGCAAAATCTTAAATACATCATTCCATATCCTCTCCCTCCAATTTTATCATATGAAAACATCGGAAGTGATTGTTTATACATATGTTTTAAGGGGACATAGTAAAATTACTTAATTTTTAAAAATTACAAGTTTAAAATCTTGACTGAAGAGTTTTGGGGGGTTTGGCTTTCCTTTATCATTAAGATTTTGAGACATTTAAAGCTTCTATGCAAAAGTGAAAGGATCAGGATAGGGACCAAATTGCAATAAAAGGGATGTAGTTTGTCAGAAGGATGCTTCCAAGTTGCTTAAGTTTGGAAGTGCACGCTGTGCTATTTATGTGTGTTCAGCAAAAAGAAGACCTACTTTATGTAAGTTAAGACACAGTAGTTTGATATTTGCGTGCAAAGATAAAAGGCCCTACTTTTAATGTAATATGAGGACATAAAATTTCATTTTTCCATTTGCTTTTAAAGTTTCTATCAGCAGCATGAGCAAAGCTGTGCTGTTTGCTCTCTGTGTGCTCTTACGCACTGTGTTACATTGGTGATGTACAGTTGGACAGGCCTATGGTTCAAATAAGAACAAGGATTTTCAAATTCTTTTATATGACAGTCCAAAAATTACAAAAAGGACTGAAACAAGTATTTGAGTTGCCTCCAAATTAACTTAAAGTCATCTCTGGAAGCAGATGTTTGAGGAAAGGTGCACCTGTACCCAGTGCTTTGCGTGCTTCAGAAGAGATGGAGAGGAGCCTGCAAGCGCTCATTCAAACTAGGGAAAGCTTTCTGGAGACCATTGATCCTTGGATGAAGCTCAGGCGAAGGTTTCTGGTGGGCACTTCTGCGGGTGCTCTACCAACACCGGCCTGAGACGGGGTCACGGCTCAGCGGCACAGCCGGGGGATTCCCACCTCTGAAGCTGCGTGTTAGCCCGAGTGCCTCCAGCCAGAACTTGTGTGCCCAAAGGGTTGAAATTGGTAGCTCTTGTAAATAAAGAAATGGAAGAAACAGAAATGGAGAAAACTTTGATTCTACTTGCAAAATAATTTTCTGAAGTTCTATAGAATATTCCTATACCTTGACTTATATGTGCAACCAAACTATCTTCCTTTACTTCAGATTAATTTAATACTCTTACCTGGCCATAGGAAGTGGTAGGAGGAAAACACGTGCATCCTTGATGAACACAGTGCTTGGGGGTTGGGCAAAGGTTAATGGTTCCTG